CAAGGAACTATTACTCAACCCTAAAAAAGGAATGAGATTCTGATACATGCTATATCATGAATGAACCTTGAACATATTATGCTAAGTAAAATAAGCCAGACACAGAAGGACAAGAATTGTATGATTCTACTTACATGAGGTTCCTAGAGTAACCAAATTCTTAGAAACAGAAAATAGAATGGGTGTTGCTAGGGGCTGGGGCAAGGGAAGAGAAGGGAGTTGTTGTTTAATGGGTACAGAGTTTTAGTTTGGGAAGATGAAAACATTCTGGAGATGGATGGTAGTGATGGTTGTTCGACAATATGAATGTACTTAGTGCCAGTAAACTGCACACTTAAAAAATGGTTAAAATAGTAGATTTTATGTTATGGATATTTTACTACACACACAAAAACCTGACAAACCAACCCTGAGTGTCATCAGCAACCAAAACAAACCATGCAATTCGAGCAAGGAAACAAGCCACCTCAAGAAATCATAGCCAAGAAAATAATCCTTTTTTTTTTGGACAAAACGCTGTCAGAGACAAAACTTTTAGAAAAGAAAATTAGTTCAAAACAAGCTTCTTTCATCATATCGTGTTTTCTTATCATAAAATAAACAAAGAGAAAGAGACAGGAAATGGGAGACTAAAATAAATCTTCCGTTTAAAGAAAAAAAAATCATTCCTAAAAGTTTACAAACAGATCTTTCTGGATCTTTAAAAATATCTCTGAAATGTTGCAGTTTAAAGCTTTCAAAAATATCACAACCTCCTCCCACTCCCCGGATATGCGTTTACTTCCTCTCTTATAAACATAATCTTTCTTTGATGCCCTGACTCTGGGGTCTCCTTGTGGTGGGTGCTCGTGAAACAGCCCTGTTTCTTGAGTCAACTGGGAAACCCTTCAGGGTGGGTGGTGACTTGTCAGTGGGGGACAGTGTGATATAAGATGCTGTGAGTCAGGAAGATGTTTATTAGGAGATTTCACAAATGCGAACAGCTACTAATAGGGTGGTAAATTGCTAATCATTGTTTTCACAAAAGGACGAGACCAGGAAAAAAAAAAAAAGCCAGCTTTAAATACAGCATGAGTGATGTTTTAGCTAGGCTTAGGTCTGTCTGGATGTGGGTGAAAATCCGAAACAATAGCAGCTTAAACAACAAGAAGTTTCTCTCTTCCTCCCCTAGAGGAATCTAGAGGTAGGGAGTCTGGGGCTGGTGTGGGGGCTCTGTGAAGTGGTCAGGGACCCAGGCTCCTTCTGTCTTATTGTTCTGCCATCCTCACCTCTTGGGCCAATGAGATTATTTGACTATTTAAGCTTCAGCCATCAAGTCTGTATTCTGGCCCAGGAGAAAGAGGAAGGAGAGTGAAGAGGCCACTCCTTCCCATAACAGAAGTTCAAGTGACACTCTCATTTAGATCCCACTGGCCAGAATATATCCTCACCACCACACATAGCTCCAAGAGAGGCTGGGAAATGGGACCCTTATTCCAGGGAGCTGCTGTGCAGCTAAGGAAGAGGTGCGGGCTGATGTTGGAGGGGATGATCAGCAATCTTTGCCCCTGGGAAGTTAGGTCAGAAGATAGGACCCAGTTGTTTTTCAGCACAGGTGCCACAGACCTTCTGCATAAGACTCTTCTAGGCCCACTGGCCTAATCGTTTTATTTAATCCATACACTTTCCCTGCATTTGTGTTATGTCCACTTTACAAACAAAGGTACTAAGATTCCGAGAGTTTCTGTAGCATCAAGAGCTGGTAAGTAGTCTGGCCTGCGGATGGCCATGTTGGTCGACTGTGGGCCTCTCAGCGCTAGACGTCATCGCCTCTAAACATGTATGCCTTTCTAACTCCAAAGCTGCCTTGCAGGAGCCCAGGAGCCTGTCAAGGCAGGCTATGCGCATCACTCCAGCCCTCCTTTTAGCCAGAAGGCTCCAAGCCCTAGGTTAGGATGCTGGCTTGGTTGCCTTTTGAGCTGATGTTAGCATTCCGGGGCAGACTTACTCATCCTAGGTTTGACACTGTACCCGCTTTTGTGGAGGACGTGTGTGCTAATAGGGTGGGAGTACTTACTGCAGACCTCAGAGGGCCAAGGGAAAAAAGGAGCATCACCTAAGGCTGGGCTCCCCCCAGTGCTGAGACATCTGTTGTTAGGAGGCACACCCAAAACCGAGAAAGATCAAAAGAAACCGACTTTGGCTGTCTCTGTGCTCTCTTGAGGGTTATATGGGTTCCTTTCACATTTCCAAAGAACTCTCTTGAGGGATTAGGAAATTTAATGTTTAAATAGTTGAGGATGAGGCATAAGCCAAGAAGAGTAACTTTTAAGAAAGAGACGGGTGGCCTGGGTTTTGTTCCTGCCTAGGAACTGGCCGCTCCACCCCACGCCCCACTCCGGTGAAAGGTTTCTTCTTAGGGAGCCGACGGGGCACAGCCTGACAGTTGTAAAGAGCACAGCTGTCTCAGCATTGCTGTGGGAGGACCGCAGAGGCCTCCCCACCCCATGCGAGTTTGGGGCTGACCTCCCTAGAAACACATCTCTCAAGAAGGAGGACAGGGTCTGATCCGAGTTATTGTTCCCTTTTCTTCCATAGACCACACTTCCACTGTCCTGCCTTTTGGCCACTGCATAGAATCCTTCTGATGAGCTCTTTTGTTTTTTTGAGGAAGATTAGCCCTGAGCTAACTGCTGCCAATCCTCCTCCTTTTGCTGAGGAAGACTGACCCTGAGCTAACATCCGTGCCCATCCTCCTCTACTTTTTTATATGTGGGACACCTGCCACATCATGGCGTGCCAAGCGGTGCCATGTCCGCACCTGGGATCCGACCGGAAAACCCCGGCCCACCGAGAAGCGGGATGTACACACTTAACTGCTGCACCCCCGAGCCGGCCCCTGAAGAGCTGTGAATTTCTGTTTTTAAATACGTTTCAGCAAAAAACATAAAAACGTTTACTATAAAAAGTTTAGAAAATAAAGATGACTAAAAAGAAGGAAAGAAAAATTGCTTGTTACGCTATTACCTAGAGAGAACTGTGACTAACTTTTTAATACATTTTTCCAAAGCACATGTACACGTATATTTGTGTGTATATGCATGTGTGTATATAAAGCTTTTGAAAAGCAAAAGTAGGGTCAGACTATTTTATAACCGGCTTTTTGCCACTTGCAATATGTCCCAGACATCTTTCCATGTCAATAAATATACGTCTGCAATATTTTTCTTAATGACTGAAGCTATTCCTTGGTACCAGCACTTAAAAAAAATAATCGTCTATTGTTGGGCAGTAAGATTAGTTCATTGTTCTATTTTTGAAAAAATTATTGTTAATATAAATAATATCTTAGGGCACATCCTTGATTATTTCCTTAGAATAAACTCCTACAAGTGGAATGCTGGGCAAATGCTCTGCAAACTTTTAGAGTTTTTTGATATGTATGGTCAAATTTATCTGTAGAAAAGTTGTCATAGTTTACACTCTTATCTACCATGTACGAGAGGATTCTCCACCTTCTACTTTATACTAGACACTATGTCTTTCTTTAAAGTTTTGGAAAGTCATGGATATTCTGTAATCTTTTGGGAAAGAACCACAGTTATAGATCTATCCTATACAGAAAGCTTTCCTTCCACGGCAACTCAGGACCAAAGGATGCCAGAAAGGAGCCAAATTAGACCCAAGTTCAGATATGTCTGTGTCTCTAAACATCCTCTCATTTCCATCAGTGTCTGAACATACTTCTGGCCAAACAACTCTATTATTTGTGACCTAGGCTGGATTCAATGCTGACCTCAATGGAGAATCCGTTTGATCTCATTATGGGCCCACCGAACCATCTGGCCCTGGCTAAACAGGTTAGCCACACAGTGGGAAACTTCATCACTCAACTAGCCTTTTTCTTGTCGGTTTTCTAACAAAAAATATTTCCCACCTTGCTCTTTACACAAAAAACAGAGTATGGATATCTTTTGCATATTTTTACGTGATAGCCAAGTAGCTTATTTTTTTAAACCTTGGCAATCCTATAGATTCAGTCGTAGTCCCCTGAAAGCCCCAAGAGAGAGTAGAAAGAGAGAGAGGGGAGAAAGTGGATTCCCACGGCCACAAGGACTTGGGCCTGAGGAGTTGCCTCTGTGTGTTATCTCACTTTTAATATTTAAAATATTTGTGGTTGGGGGGAAATGCCAATTATCTTCAAAATTGAGATTCTGTTCTTGGCTGCAAGTGTTTTTCAAATTCCTAGAATTAAAGCAGATTGTTTTTCCAAGCTTGTGAACTATTTTTATCTACAACAATATGGAGTGCACGCACCTGTTCACACATCCCTCTATGGGCGCGGATACTTGGGTTCATTATGTTGAAGGCAGAGCTAAGAGACAGTCAGCCTGATGTTTTATCACCATGTGGAAGTGTATTGCTGTGGGACGAAAGACTATCTTCCTTTATAGTTACTAATTTTCTCAGATGATATTTTGGGATTTTAAAATCAGTCATATGAAACAAAATAGACCTATTTTTAGAACTCTCTATTGTTAATTGTGTTGTGTAGTTATGGTCCCTATTCTTTTGACTCAGACATTTATTTAAGCATGCAAAACATCATCCTTATTGAAGGCGTACAGTGGGCAAAGCCCTCTGCTGGGTACCATAGACGTCATGAAGACAGAATCCCTGCTCCAGCTCTGTCCCTGACCAGTTGCCATGAAGGGGCCCCTTCACTTCACGTAGTCTCAGTTTATGCACCTTTAAGCAAGGCACCTGGCTGATTGCCCCAGGAGCATCAACTCCCCTGTGCTCGCAGGCTCCTCACGGCAGGGTGGGTGTCCTGAGCAGGCTCAAGCTGGCATCCCCTGCCACAAGTTAGAGAGACACGTGGCTCACTCTGGAAGTGAAGCAGGTAAAGCTACAAGCAACTGTTGGCCCAGCCCTGGATGCAAGCTCTGTAAGCTGCAGATGCTGAGGTCCTACTAAAGTGTCCCATTCAGCCCCTAGCACAATCTGTAGTCATATATTTGTGACCATATCAAAACTTTTTATTATAAAAAATTTCAAAAATACACGATATAGACAGAGGAATATAATGAAAACACAGGCACTCATCGTCCAGCTCCAACTATTTTAATATTCCTCCCTGACCCTATGAATCTCAGACACACATCCTTTCACCACAAATACTTCAGTGTGCACCTGTAATCGGTAAGGACTTTTTGGAATATAACCACCACGCCCTTATCCAACCTCACAAAATGAACAGCTATTCCTTACTATTAGGTTCATTCTCTCACAGATGTCTCTTTAGGGCTGTTTTTAAGGCATCTCTCTCTTTTAGGTCTCTTTTATTCCTTAACAGTTCCCACTCCTCATTTTTTCCCTTTTCCATGCTGTTGACTTGTTGAAGACACCAGGTCGTTTATCTTACAGAATGTTCCACGTTCGGGGCTCCGCTGCTTGCTTCTTCGTAGTGTTGCTTAATTTGTTCCTCAGTCCCCTGTATTTCCTGTGACTTGGTAAGAGAGCTAGAGACCTGATTAGTTTCAGGGCCAATTTTTATTTTTAAGGCAAAAATGTGTGGGAGTTGGCGCTGTGTATTTTACGTTGCATCACCTGAAGAAGCACACAAAGTCTGCTTATCCCACTGACAGAGACGGATCGGAGGGCTCAGGTGGTTGAGAAAGCAGGTCACCCCGACAAGAAGCAGAGGAGGTGGAATTTGGACCTTCTCAGTCTGACTCCAGAATCCAAACTTTTAGCCACTCCCCCATCCTGCAGGAAGGACAAGCGCTCCACTTTCATACCTGTTTCTCCGTTTCTGGAGTCCCTGTGCCTACCACCCATCCTTTGTCAGTACCGAGGACAAGCACTCGTAGTTGTAGGTCAGATCATGCAGTTTGAATTGGGGAGGAAGCCAGGCTCAATGCTTTCAAGCAACAAGAAGTTCGGGTGTGTGGCTCGGGTGCTCCTCGGTCTCCTCGGGGCTGTGGTGTGAGGTGTGAGAGGTGATGCGTGCGTAGAGAGGCGGTAGAATCCGAGAAGAGTTTTCCTTGGCCACTGCATTTTGTTTCAGCCCTAAAACCTTCAGGCTCTGCTGCGAGTGCCTCAGGCCCCACAGCAGCACGTGTCAAAGGATTGGGAATGACTGTGAAAGAAGGTGATCGCGTCTTCAGGCTTCGCGCAGTCTTTATCAGGAATTTTCCATGTCCTTATTTTGCCTTCTTTTCATGCCCTCTTCTACCATGATTTTTCTCATACAGCGAGACAGGCTTTCCACCTGCCTCATCCATCTCGTTTCTTCCTCATGGGACAGAAGTCTTTTAGCACAATCGCACGCTGAAACGACACTGCCAAAGGCAGTCAAGGGAGCCGGAGAAAGGTGGGTGTCATGGGTGCTGCCCTCTGAAGTCTCTGAAAGTCCTAAACCTGGGGGCCTTCCTCCACCCTGTAGGTAGGGAGAGACCCCCACGAGAGGCTCCTAGCCAGGTTCCAGGCACAGGGACCCCAGGGAGCTGAGGAGGGGAGACGCAGAGAAGATGAGAGAAAGAAGGCTATCTGATGAGATATGCGGAAACCTGTCACAGCTGCATCTGGCCCTGCATGTGCTTCTCCCGAACTCACCCAAGACTGAGCTCTTTCTGTCCAAAGACAAGCTGTGCTGCAGGCCTCCTAGATGCTGTGTGCCACGGCAGAGGGGACCGGTTGAGATCCTTGTTCCTGCCTTTCGGGGTGGTGATTACGGTTTATGCACACCCTCCCTTCACTTACAAGTAGCATTTGTAGGTTTTCTGGTGGTTTACAACGCCGTGGACCCTCACAATGACTTTAAGAAGGAAGGATTATCATACATATTCATGGTCACTGGGATACCATGACTCAGAGCCAGTGCATGACTAGCTTGAGGTTTCCCCATGGTGAAGTGGCTGAGCTGGGACTTGAACCCCTGTCCCTGGAGTGTTGAGTGTCTGCCCCTCCCTCCCCACAAGGTTCACTTCAGAGAAACAAGAGGGGCTTGGGCAGCACTTTCTTCAGGGCCCAGTGAGTCTTCTTCTCAAGAAGTTCGTCAAGAATGCCAGTTGCTTTTGCTTTGCTTGTGGTCAGTGTCCTGTGGGAAAGGGTCAGCTGGCTATTCAGAGTGGGACAGAATTTTTTGTGAGGCCTCCCTTTCCCGACCTCATTAATGGAAGCATTTGTACTGCCCAGTGGGGCCTCCTTGGGACACATTCCTTGTTGTTATTGTTGTTGATGTGGTTTGTGGTTTTGCCTTTTTTACTTCAAAAATCATATTTTCTCCAACTCCAAGAGTCATATGTGCTAATTTTGAGAATATTAGAAAAATAGAGAAAAGCGTAAACACGAAAAGAAAACTTGTCCAGTATCCTGCCGCCCCGAGTCTCAGTGAGGACTTGGGGGTTGCCGTCTGTCCTCTCTCTCCTTCCTTTGGGCCTAGGGCTGCACCATCAACTGAGCCCTCACCCCCCACACTTTGTAAATAGTCCCTCCCCGGGTTACCCTGTTTTGAATGTGCCATCTGTTTTCTGTTGGGAACCAGATTGACTCACCTTCTGACTCATTGACATTTCGAGACCTTTCCCTCGAAGCTCCCATTGCCATGATATTTTCTGAGGTTTCCAAGCAATGTATGCAGTGTGCCTGGAATAAGCTTGGGGGTCCTAGGGAGAGAAGGCGTTTAGTTTCTCGACTCTTCCCTGGTGCCCCCCGCCCCCGACCTTGCACAGACCTTGAGCAGGCACACGTCCATGTGTTGTGATGTGAGGGACTCCACACTTCCACTCGCTCCTGAGCGCCTCCAACTCCTACTGCCCCTGCACTGCATTCAAATCACTGCTTACCAGAATGATCTCCACCAGGTCCCACTTGGAAAGGAAGTCGTAGGAGAGGAGGAAAGAGCCATGGCTTGCTCATCCCAAGGCCGTTGCACATAATGCTGCCTCAAATCCCCACTCACTGCCTGACTGAGTCCTCCTTACCCCTCTTGTCTCAGCTTTGATGAGGCCTCTCCTGAGACACCTTCCCTGAGCTCTCCACCCTGGTTAGGGCCCTTCCTCGTGACTCTTATTACAATGCCCTGTAACTCTCCTCCTGAGCCTCTGAGGTCCGGGAGGGTGGGACCTGTGTCCTACTTGCCCTTCCACCTGGCATCTGCCACAACACCTGGCACATAATAAGCCCTCCATAAATCCGTAGACTATTGCATGTTTGGGACATCCTCCAGTATCAAGTTTCCCCATCAGACTCATTTTGAAGGACTGCTTCCAGTTGGAGGAAACCTTGATTTGAATGAGCCAGACATTTCGTCCTTGAATACTGTGTACATTGGAATCCATTTACCCGTCCCCACAGGGACTGATATGTTTATTGGAGGTGGGTGTGGGGTGTAGAACAAAAGATGGATCTTTGTCGGGGACTTTTATGGTATTGTTGACAAGGGATGATGCAGAATATGAAAGCAGAGCCAGGGAGTCAGGAGAAAACACTCTATTCCATTATTTTCCCAAGAGCCAGGTATGTAAAAAAAGGCCGGTGCTGCTGACAGTCATAGGAAGATAGACTTCAGAGATTATTTCTGTCTTCTAGGGTCACCTCTGAACTTATCTACCTTATTCACTTTACCTCCTAATGTGGGCTCAGGGGAGCTTTGTGCATTAGTGGAATATTTATCTCTCCCTTTTAGAGGAAAACACGACTACCTCTATTTGCATAAAAACCGTGCTAGGTGGAGCTGGACCAGTGGCATAGTGGTTAAGTTCGCACTCTACTTTTGCAGCCCGGGGTTCGCATGTTCAGACCCTGGGTGCCGAATTTCACACCACTCATCAAGCCGTGCTGAGGTGGCATCCCACATGCAAAAAATAGAGGAAGATTGGCACAGATGTTAGCTCAGGGCCAATCTTCCTCCTCCCCCGCCCCCCAAAAAAGCTAGGCAGATATACAGGGAACTAAGAAAGTGGTGACTTCTGTGGGGTGGAGTGGAAAATCCAAGGAGACTCGGGTAGCAGAGAGAGTGAAACTTCTCAATTATACTTTCAATATTATTTTGACTTTTGAATCATAGAAATTTATAACATTTAAAAAATAAAATTGCATTTAAAAAATCTTCCCTGAGAAAAACAATAACCCCCAAACTTTTTTTACAACTCGCTTAGGTGGGGACCTCGTTATCCGTCTATTCTTTTACACTTTCCAATGGAAGAAAGATGAGACTTGTTTATAATAATGAAGTGTCAATGTACAAGCAGCTTGTTTTTGGGGGGAGGGGGTGGCATTATGTAAACATTTGCTTCTGCGGTTGGGGTAATGATCATTCCTATTTGAACCACGATGTTCACATATCTTTCAATCTGTCATTAGAAAATTACAGGACCAAATACTGATGTAAACATTGTTGAGAAGATCAGATCATCTCAAACCAACCACATGGGTAACACAGTAGCAGCAACTGATAAAAGAGATAACAAAACTTGCTTCCTCCCAAGCACGGGCATTCTGGCCATCTACAGCGTGCCCGCACAGCCAGAGCTTTGCAAGGGGCCACTTGTTGCATGGATGACAGAATCTGGGATAGAACACTGACTAAAAATATTCTGGTCACACACAAATTCCAAATTCAGTCATCCTTAGTGATTCACTTAATAAGTTACTAGTAAGAAGCGATTAGTTCTCTGTAAATGACAGTTGGAGGATTGCGTGGCATTTACTCAGGAGAAGAGAAGAAAAGACTCACATGTTTGGGAAGCAATTTGCATCCATCAGGAGAATTCTTTCATTGAAGTCTCTCCACTTTGAAAATGACTATATTAGAATTACCGTATTGGCAAAAATTTATAAGGCGACCCTATTCTGAGATGGCCAAAGTCCTAGAGAATTTGGACTCTGGTGGAAAAGACCACTCACCCAAATCATGCTTTTTCCCAGTGGGAAGCAGCCCTTCAAATGATGATCTTTCTGATGTGTCAGCTTTGGCATCTGGGACATCTTTTCTGGAAAGACCTTGCTGTGTGAGCTAGCTGCAAACACGGGAAATCTTCTCACAGGGAGGTTCCAAGAGCTGGTGAGTACTGAGTAGCTCCACCCCTTCAGTACACTTTCAACCAGGGTTAAGCTTCCCCCGGCAAGGAGTGGTGGAGCTTTTGAGACAATGGTTTTGCACTCTCTTCCTTCACTCTGCTCTGATCCTCTTAACTGTCTTGTCTTGGGATCTTCCCAGCATTTGCTCTGTTTTGTCTTATCTCTCAGGTCTAACTCCACACTTGTCCTTTGGACTCAGGAACCCTCTCGGGCTTCCCTAACTTTGACGATCTCATGCTGTCATTTGTGACATGCCCCTACTCTCTGGTTCTTCCTACATCTGTTCACTTCAGGTAACCACTCACCTGACCCACCTCCAGTTCCAGCTCCAGCTTCAGTGGACCAGAGGGGAGGTGGGATGCAGTAAAATGAAATTCTCAAGGCTCTTGAATTCAAACACCTCTGCTCCTTGGTTTGCCATAGTTAACCGTCATGTATGCTTAGGAGCAAGTCTGTGTTCAGCCATGTGGTATGGATCTGTGCTTGCAGGGAACTGAGAATACGTGTGCAGTTAGGGTTGACAGTCAGCAGGTTGAATACTGAATTATTTCCCTCTCACTTGGTATAGCCATTGTCCCACCACACTGACTACCACACTACACCCCTTCACTGGAATTCCCTGGACCTTGTCCTAAACCTGAAACTTCAGGGGCAATGCCTGGCCAACCAGGGGTGGGAATGGGAGTTGGATCCTGGGTGGGTATCCTGGCCAACATCCGTTCTGATTGGTCGATATCCAAGCCATATTGGTTGTTACATATCTTAAATATCAACCCTGTTCAAGTGAGCCATGATTTTAGAGATTTCCATACAAAAAAAAATGAAAAAGAAAAAAAGTCAGACAAATGACTGCTGTGCCAGATACTCCTAGCCGGCAGCTTCTTCTCTTCAAAGGCTGCCCCAGAGGAGTGAAGTTTTCTTTGCAACAAGCAGATGATTTAGTCAATGTCAGTCTTTGCCAAATCTGCAGAGGCCCTTGAATGTTGGGTGCTAATAAAGCTCAAGTTATTATTAGACATGTGGTCTATGTAGGTCATTGCCAAGTACTGGCATGATGGAAAGCAAAGAAAATTTTCTAACCCCTGAGAGAATGCGGATGAGGATTGCAACCCCTTCTCCAGTCAGGAAACACACCCCAAATCTCTTTTCTATTTGTCTCCTGGTAGGACTTGATTTCCTCATCTGCAAAATGAGGGTTATATGAACGACTCCTTCACCAGTTTGACAAGAAATAGGTCTCTTTAGAAGAAAGTGGGGAAACCCACCAAGGAGTAGTATTGGGAGATTCAGCCTCGTCCTGAGCTTCAGCTCTTCCCTCGCTGTTACATCGTTGCTGTGTTTGGCTTTTGTTTTACTTCACAGCCCCAGAAAGGGAGTGTGGCCGCGAGCAGGAGCAGGAAACAGCCCTAGGAATTCAAGATCTTGACTGAAGGAAGCAGCAGATGTGTGTATCTGATTCTGCCTGGACACAGGATTTTTTCAGATGCTCACAGGAAGATGACTTGTGTCAAGCTTTCAACCACTTGGACAAAGTTCAGGATTGTTCTTTAGGGAGACCTCTTCCTGAGCACTCAGGAACATACGCATTTCCCAAGCATCCTGTTGGAGTGTCATGTTCCCTTCCTTACCAAGGCTCTCCGAGCTGGAAGGGCGTCAGTGCAGGCAGAGCAGCCAGCTGAATGGTCTAGGGGCTGAGGCCATGGACCTGGGGGAGGGTGGTGGAACTGGAGGTGTATGGGGGTATTGCTAGATCCTAGATTTAGTAGGCTGCTCTTGGGGAGGAAGGAAGAGATAGGACAGGCAAGAGGCGGTGTATCTGCCTGTGCTGATACGGCAGGAGGTTTTCAGGCTGCATCATTCCATCCGAACCTGGCAGAGGATGGGAAACCATCAGGAGAAAGAGCAGGAAGAGCTGAACTCAGGCCAAGCTGGAGGGAGGGGGCAGGGCCTTGAGGTATCTGAGTGAAGCCCCAACTGAGCCCTGAGCATGCTCCTCTTGTTTTTGTAAGAAAAATAAAAACTCGGCTAATATACCCTTGCTCTTGTTTGACAGAACATTTGAGGTGAACCTGCACCTTTAGTCTTACTTGTGTGTCAAATAAGCAGTTGTAGCACTTATTCGGTGCCAGGCACTCTTCCAGAGTTTGACGAGTTTTAACCTATTTAGTTCCCAGGGCAAGGATTATTCCCGTTTTATAGCGAGGAAGCCGAGGTGCGGGAAGTGTTAGTGGCTTGCCCGAGGTGACAAGGAGGGGGACTGGACCCCCCGCAGCCTGCCTTCCAAGTCTGTGCTCTCGACCCCTGACTTGATTTTTTAAAAATGGACTTTATTTTTTAGAAGAGTTTTAGATTTACAGAAAAATTAAGAAGATAGTGCTGAGGGTTCCAATACATTCCATATCCAGTTTCCCCTACTATAAGCATCTTACGTTATGATGGTACATTTGTTATAATTAATGAACTAGTACTGATACATTATTATTAATGGAAGTCCATAGTGTATTTGGATTTCTTACTTTTTTTTTTTTTAAAGATTTTTTATTGTTTTCCTTTTTCTCCCCAAAGCCCCCCAGTACATAGTTGTATATTCTTCGTTGTGGGTCCTTCTAGTTGTGGCATGTGGGACGCTGCCTCAGCGTGGTTTGATGAGCAGTGCCATGTCCGCGCCCAGGATTCGAACCAACGAAACACTGGGCCGCCTGCAGCGGAGCGCGCGAACTTAACCACTCGGCCACGGGGCCAGCCCCCAGGATTTCTTACTTTTTACGTGACGTATTTTTCTGTTCCAGGATCCCATCTAGGGTCCCAGGTTACATGCAGACCTCAGGTCTCCTCAGGCTCCTCTTGGCTGTGGCAGTTTCTCTCACTGATGAGCTCGATGGTTTTGAAGAGCGCTGGTCAGGTGTTTGGGGATGGGTCTGATGGTTTTTCTCACGATTAGCCTGAGGCTCAGCCCTTGACTTTTGATAGGTACAGTGAGCTCCTGCAAGGCAGATGGAATCCTAACAGGGACATCTGTGTTGGTTCCACCATTATTTGTCAGGATTCCACACTAGGTATTCTTCTCTTACCCCTGTTTGTTTCTTTTCAGAAGTGAAAAGAGACGCCTATTTGTACTTGTGTCAAGTCAACTGGTTCCAATTAAAAAGAAACATCTTAACCCAGACTCTCAGGCTGGTGTGAGGCCCTTGGTCTCTGCTAATCTCCACATTTCAGGGTCACAGGTTGCAATCGGCTGCTTCGGTCGTCCAGCCTGGCTCTCTTCATCCTTGTTAAGACTCAGACTCTCGCACAGGAAAGTGTAAAGGGAACACGGTCGGGGCCTTGGCTCTGGAAGGCTCTGCCCTACCTGCTCATCTGTCATCCGGTTCTGCTTGCTTCCTCATGTCCAACACTTCCCCATGCCTTTGTTGCTCCCCACTTAACCCAGAGCCACTGCCCATGTCCTGGGCATGGCTGGCTGCCTCCTAGCTCCTGACATTTGCCTCTGTCTCTGCAACTCTCCATCTCTGCCGTCTCTGTGGAGGCATCTCCTCAGTCAGCCCCACATGTGCACAGCGGTAGGAGCTCCCTGGTCCTCACATTCGTCAGGTGCTATCCTGGCAGATGGACCCACTATCCTAGGCAATAGACCACACCCTCAGATGGATCCTTACAGTCCAGACTGGGCACACTTCCATTTGATCTTCCCAGGGAGAGCTCCCATCATAAAGACGTTTACACATGAGAGAAGTGCTTGAGATATGGTCTTGAGATGATAAAAATAAACGCAACCTTTGAAAACCATGGCAACACAAGAGGCAGGAATGCTGCAAATTACAGTGCATGTAAAATATGGCTACCGGGTGCAGGTTTGGAGGTAAAGTTTATTAGGAAAACAACCAAAGGGAATGGAGTCCTGCCTCCATTCACCTATATTGCGTCCCAGCTTGGGACCTCACCAAGTTCCAAACCCAACTCCCAATAAATGTTTGTTGCCTGAATGAACGAAGGAATGTAGAGAAGGCATTTCCCAGCTGCCTCCAACAGGTCACAGCCCGTGCTTCCACCCAGCCCTTCCTCTTATTTCCTTCAGTCTGGACAGATAGCAAACAGCTTTTTGGCTCATGCTATCTTCCCAAACTTCCCAGTGCCAGGTTGAATTACTGGCCTCAATTCTTCACCTTTTCTGCATCCACCTCTTTTTCATGTGATTTTGCAGCTCTTCCCACTATCTTGGGAGGGGACCATTTCTCTGCCCCTTGACTTCGGGCTTGGCTGAGGTCTATTAGCAGATGTGACACATACAGTGGTTTGAAACGTGCTTGTGTGATTGGGCATGTCCTCTCGTGCCTCTGTCATTGCCATGAGAAAAACATGCCCTAGCTAGCTTGCTGGTCCTGGGAGGATGAGAGGCACATGGAACAGATCTGGACCCAAACAGCAGCCTGGAGCCCAACCCAGCTGACTCCAGCCAAGATCAGCCAAACCTCAGCTGACCTGCAATGCACAGCAAGAAACAAATGCTCACTGGTGTGCTACTGAGGTTTCACGTCATTTGGTACCTAGCAATGGCTGATGCATATACTGCTCCACCCTCCAGGCCCTCTTGGAAACCTGCACAGAAGGAAGGTTTCTGGGAAGAGGAGACTTTATGTGAAATCCTGTCCCAGAAGATCATTCCTTCCTTACGTGAGTCTCACTAGTGATGTCACAGTCACTGTGACTCACCTCTCCCAGAGAGCATTAGTGTGTTAGTAATCATAGTAATTAGCATTCACCTGGGGTTTTATAAGCAGGAGGTAGCTGCGACATATAACTATCTTGTGAGGTGAAGAGGCCAGGATTATCACGTCCATTTTGCAAAGAGAAAATAAAAACTCAGACGTGGTGAGTGACTCACCACGATTGGATCAGGAGACAGCTGTCTGAAGAAGAATGAGAGAAGGAGTTCCTTCCACCCAGGGGTCAGTCATGTGTGCGTGTGCGTGTGTGTGTGCGTGTGCGTGTGTGTGTGTTTTAATTTTTATAACCTTTTCATTATGAAAGGGATACAGGCCAATTGTAGAAAGTAGGAATACGCAAAAAGCATTAAAAAACAAAGTTCCCGTTCTACAAAGTAATATTTTGACTTATTTCTCTGTTATTTTGAAACCATGTATATTTATAATGTATTTTTGTAAGTTAGAATCATATGTATACATAAGAACATTTCTCATGGCATTTAAAATTCTTTAAAGATATAGTTTTTAAAGCATAATATTATGTTCTGTGGACTTATTCTAATTTGTTTAAGCCTTCTCTATTATTGTATATGCAGCTTGTTTCTAACTTTTTGCCATTAAAAGCAATTTTGGTGAACATATTTGTTGGTAAGAGAGATAATTTATGTATCTAGTACATGGCACATGGTATGTGCTTCAAAAATGGTAGCTAGTGTAAATATTTGTGTAAATCCATGATAACTTCTCGATAAACTTGCTGGATTAATGAGGTTTTTTTTTCCTGCTTTATCTCCCCAACCCCCCCATGTACACAGTTGTATATCTTAGTTGCAGGTCCTTCTAGTTGTGGGATGTGGGACGCCGCCTCAACGTGGCCTGACAAGTGGTGCCATGTCGGCGCCCAGGATCCGAACCCTGGGCCACTGCAGCGGAATGCGCGAACTTAACCACTTGGCCACGGAACCGGCCCTGGATAAATGAGTTTTAACATTTAAATAGTTTTTGATACATACTGTCAAATTGCTTTCCAGAAAGGAAGTCCCAATTTCTGTTACAATGACAGTGTTACAGGTGCCCATCTCAGAGCCTCTTCACTGGCACTGAGTATTTTCTTTAAAATAAAGTATTGCTAATTTGATAGGTGAAAAATAGTAGTTCATTGTCACATTTTTGATTAGTAGTGAGGCTAAAAATTCCCACATAATTGTTAACCATCAGTAACAGGATGACTCAGGGGGAGCGTTTGGGTAAGGGCCTGGCATAATAAGTAGTTTCGAATGAATGAGTGATTAAAGGGGGCCCACTGTGGGTGGGTACGAGGGGCATCACTGAGGCTGTATGCTAAGGCCTAGAGTCGAAGCTGTGACTACAGGGACAGGGCGTTTATTCCAGGTCCTTCTTTGCTCAATTGAAAGTACTTTCAAATGAACAAAATTCTAGGGTGGAAGTGATGTTTGGGAGGGCCTGTTAGGGTGATCGTACTGGGGAGGCAGTCCTGGGCTTGGGAGCTGGCCGACCAGCCGGTGAAAACTTTGCTCAGAAGAAGGAGCTGGGAACGCAGCCCCTGGTCAGCAGCATGGGAGCTGCGGCTGCCAGCGGCGCCCTCTCCACTCCAGTCTCCCCTCTGCACCTCAGGCACATGCTGGTGGCCATGGCGGTGTGTTTAGACTCTACAGGCAACTGTGTTCTCAGGCAGAAGGGAGGGATGCGAACTGGAGCTTTCCCATCTGACTGTGTCATGATTCGACTCAGCCACTAGCCTGAACTACGCCCTGCCATGCTGCTGTGTTTCTTTCCTCTTGGCCTGGCGGAGACCTCCTCCTTCCTTTCCTTCTCTGTGTGCGGAGCCCCACCTCAACCTGGAGCGCTCCTGTGGTACCGATTTCCCTGCATTGTACTCTTCATTCACAAGTCATTCTCCTCTCCTTGATACCAGCTACTCGAGGGCGGCGATGGCATTTTATTATCTTTGTATCTTCAGTGGCTAAGAGTGTGGGAATGAATGAATGAATGAACGCCTCGGGAGCACGCAAAGGGCACCAAGAATAAATTAGGGCCTTGGAACCTGGTTGGGAGAAATAACCAGAGTTCGTTCCTTACTACACATTTCATGATGGAGTTTTGTTGGATGGAGAAGTTGTAACTGATATCAGGCTCTGTGGTTGGCTGGGTTTTTGACAGAGACTACGTCACACATCCCCGTGCCCTGAAGGATTCTGCTTTTGAACTGGTTTGACTTTACACTGAGAGCCAAGTCTCAACTAACGCAGGCTTATTTGTTTAACTGTCTTATTTAACAGCTTTCTCCTAAGCCATAGTTCTGAGACTTTATTGAGTATCAGAATCGTCTGGAGTGCTTATTAAAACACAGAGAGCTGAGCTCTACCCCCAGAGTTTCTGATTTAGCATTTTTGACAAGATCCTACTTGATGCTGAGGCTGCTGGTCTGGGGACCACACTTTGAGAACCACTGGTCTAAATGTGGTTTGTTTGTTTTGTGTGTGTGTGAGGAAGATTGGCCCTGAGCTAACATCTGTGCCAATCTTCCTCTACTTTATATGTGGGATGCTACCACAGCATGGCTTGATGAGTGGTGTGTAGGTCTGTGCCCAGGATCTGAACCTGCAAATCCCAGGCTGCCAAAGTGGAGCGTGCAAACTAAACTACTACACCAGTGGGCCAGCCCCCAGTCCAAATGTTTTAATCTGGCCTCTGAACAAGGTGCCAGATTGACCTTCTCCCAAGTCCAAGGAGTTGGGTATATAAAATGCTCAGCCTCTGTGCCAGGGCCCAGCTCTGTTCACCCCTGGGTCAGTCTTGGACTGTCTCTTCTTAGCAGTCTATGTGGGGTGACTGGGCCACCCCAGCCTGTATCAAAAGGCTGTCAGGGCCTAAAACTTACCACTGCGGGGTCTGAAACCTTATCAGGGCCCCTTCTAGGTCTCTGGAGAAGCACAGGAAACTTCAGGGAATAGAATTTTACATCCTTGGAAAACCCCAAGATCCACGAACCAACCTTTATAAGGAGGGAGCAGCCAGGGCCTCACCTGCCCACTTCCAGAAACCAAAGCTCCTCAAAAGGGGCACACCTGGCCGCCATCTGTGAGGTCTCCGTGTGCTCTCCACTTGCCCCAGTCTGTGCCTGAGCCCACATCCTCTTTCTTTCTTGATCTTTACAGGAAAAGGTGAGAACCTGGGCTAAGATTTGCTTTCCAGCAGCTTCCCCATCACAAGTCAAATAATATCCAAACTCCCAACCACGGCCTGAGCAGCCTGGTGCTCCGACCTCGTCTCCCTGCTCGCCAGCTTGCCTGACACGCTGGCCTCCCCACCATCTCTCAAACACCAACTCGTTCCCACCTTGGAACCCTGCAGCCACTCTGCCTGCAAAGCTGGGCCCCAGATGGGACATGAGACCCGCTGTTCAGGCAACTCCTCTCCAGAAAGAGCTTCCTGTTCACCCTCCATAAGCAGCCCCGCCTCCCACCTGTTCCTTCCATCCCCATCTTCAGAGCACTTGTCACCATCTGACGCCACCTGCAGAACGTAAGCCCCACGAAGGCCAGAAGCTTGTCCACCTTTCCCAGCTGTGTCCCCGGCACTGGAATGTGCCTGGCACGTCATTCCTGTTCTATAAAGATTTATGGAATGACTTTGTGGCCTCTACCAGGTACACTATGAAAGCCACGGCCTGGAATCCTTCAACGGCCTCTCCCAGACCTTGACTCTAAAATCCAGAATCTGGCTCCAGTTTACATCCTAACAAGCTTGTTCAGATGGGAAGAACCAGAGCCACAAATGAGGTTTCTGTCACCACTCCCATCACCCAGTACAGGCCCTTAGACCTGTGTTGTCCTGACCTGCCCTACCTGCCAAAGGGCTGGATAACATTTGTGTTGCCTGCCCGCAAGACTGTGCTGAGGCGCAGATGAAGTAACTGCTGGGAAAGTGCTATGCCAGGAAAAAGGTGCTGACAAATTTGGGGTTTGGCGATGGTTATACTTCTCTGTGACTGTAAGTGAGCCCGCGGCATTTAATTTTAGAGAGCTTTTCGTTCTTGTAGTTTGAAAAAGTAAAACGTTGTTTAACTTCTTCATAAGCTTAAGGCAAACCCCTCACAGACTGAAAAACTAAGGAGTTACATTTGAGAGAGAAATTCTGGAATTGGAGGCCCTGCTAAGGGATCCTTACCTTGGTCATTTCTCTGCCACCATTTTCCTGCCCATAAACACAGTTTGCCTGCTGTCCTCTCAAGGGAGGCTGGGCATTATGCTTGGCACTAGGGGGTTTAAAGTGACTTGAAGAATAGTTTGGGGTCGACATTTCTAATCCCAGGAACGGCTAAGAATCTTAAAAAGCAACTTTAGTTGAGTTCAGATAAACGGCTGGATTGGAGAGAGCTGAACCCCCCACGTGGCTTGAAATGGAGTCTACCGTAGTTGTCTGGCCTTCCGTTTCTCACCTGGGCAGGGAATGGAAGGAGCTAAGTCCTCCTGGAGAAGCCCTTGGGGGTAGGGTCGCCAGATGCTGAATTTCAGATGAACAACGAATAATGTTTTAGTAAATCTCATGAGATAGTTGGACCGTGCTGATACTTAAAAAGGTATTCATTGGTTATCTGAAGTTGGAATTTAACTGGATGCCATACATATTATCCGCATTTTTATATTTATATTTTATTTTATCTACCTACCTTCAAGTCTTTGGTCCTAGGAAAGGAGGGGCAGGAAGACTGCTTGCACTTTTCCTAACCCGTTTGACCTGACAAATGAGAAATATTTTGCTCTTAGTCTCCACTCACTCCAATCCCTTTTCCTCCCTCCTGGCCCGTGGGTCATGGGCAATAGATGGATGTGACCTTATGTAACCCATCTGCTTGGGCCGCTGCTGACACACCGCCCACGCAGCCACACTCCTTGGAATCAGCAGGGCACTCACCAAAGTGCGGATGCCAGGAAAATGCTCCGGCCCTTAGACAAACCAGGACAGGAGTGTTTCATAGCTGTTGGGAGCATTTGATTCTTAGATAAAGGGCCTGGAGACCCGGAACACTCCTCCGAATACAGAGCAAAACTTCTGCGTCAGCTTGTTTATTTTGGTATTACTAAACACCACTTTATTACTAATAATACCTTGCTGTCATGTTGTGCTTTTCATCCAGGGATCTCTAGGTGCCCTATTAACATTCAGCAGCACAGCCCCATAACCCCTGGGTTATGTAATTGTACAGAGAGCTTCTTTGA